CAGAGTTTTGTGCTACCTCTCAACGAGGCCCGGAACTTTTTAGGCAACCCTCGTATAATAAAGTAGATTTAAGAATTTTCTTAATTTCCGGTTAGAAAAGTAATGGTTAAATCCAAATTTTTTACATTTAAATGTAAATTATTTTAATTAATACGTTATTTTCGCAACTTTAAGATACACATATGATTTTAATCAGCAGCTTTCAAGAGTATTACTGTACTTACTTAGATAATTTGTCTACACTCCTTAATTACTATATATGTATGTAGTTAGTCATATTCTTAATTAATTAAACTTAGTATAAGCCAGGCCGTAATGACGTTTTACTGAAATAGTAAAACGGGGTTGATGTTTAGGCAGGTTGTTACCTAAGAATTATCCCGTTATAACAATTTGCGTAATTTGACATTCGAGCAATTTAAGCGGAAGTGCCGGCTTGAAAGTAAGCCAGTTCCTTATTGGGTCAGGAAATGAGGCTTGGAGACGTTTACAGGATCAGATGGCGGTCATTTAATCTAATGATAGTGCGAACTTGTTAGTTGGTTGAAGCACTATCGAGTTTCTATCTTGTCGCATTACATTACCGTTTGCGCATACAGAAACTTTCTCGCACTCCCCCAAGTGAAGACAATGTACGATGCTGCTGCTCTATCTTTATTTACTGTTCAACGTTTTTAACTAGGACTAATTAGATTTTGAATTATTGCAGAAAAAAATATCAAGGATTATGACTTGCTTAGTACCCTACATATAGTTGGGACGTTCACTATTGACATAGTCCGCAATAAAACTGTCGCATTTACTTTCTTCTTTCAATTTACTAACTAGACTAGAGCAGTTGCTGACAGAAAGCCTACTTTTATTCACGGCAGATGTTGTAGGGAATATCGTAAACATAGAAAAGAGATGTCAGTTAGGAATTGCAGCGGATACTAATAAAGAAAAAGGAATAACATTACACCAATTGGTGTGTAACACAAAGGGATGCAGGCAAGCAGAATTTGAGCATGTTGCCAGCATTGGACTCTAAAGAAAGTTCAACATTCAAGAATATAGGAAAACAATGACGCTTATTTAAGGATGTTTGGGAGGTACAATCGGAGACAAGAATACATAAAATTAGAAATTTCTGATTAATTAGCTTTTGCAGCATATCATGAGGTAAATAAATACTATCTATACTAAAAAAA